TGTCTTTGTACTCACTCAAGCTCTTCTCTATGCTGTAAATTGTAGTGTCTGCACTGTTCTTGGTGTCAATTAGAGCTTTTCTTTGTTGATCCTTCTGGGCGTGAAGTTCAGCTTCCTTGACCATCTTCTCAATCTCATCCTCTGAGAGACCTCCAGATGAACGGATGGTGATCTGCTGTTCTTTACCTGTGGACTTGTCCTTGGCAGAAACAGTGACAATACCATTGGCATCAATGTCAAATGTGACTTCAATCTGCGGCATGCCTCTAGGGGCAGGTGGAATGCCTACAAGCTCAAACTCTCCCAAAAGCTTGTTGTCAGAAGCCATTTCACGTTCTCCCTGAAGTACCTTAATACCAACCTGAGTCTGGTTGTCAGCTGCAGTGGAGAATACCTGCAATTTGAGGAGTGCCAATAAGACATAAGAAACAGAAAGAACATAATTGCTGATTAAAAAGGAGTAGCAACATCATAATTCTTCAGTAAATATCAAGGATAAAAGGTTATGAAATACCTAACCAATCAAATACAAGCGACATCAGGGAATAATTAAATTATCAATGAAAAAAAGGATAACCTAAAATATTACTTAAGCACAAAAGTAACATGGCATTGTGTAATATCCCAGACAATTGTTAAGAAAGGAATTTTGACATCTAAGATTGACCTGACTCTTCTTTGTAGGAATGGTCGTGTTTCGGTTGATTAGCCTGGTGAATACACCACCAAGTGTCTCAATACCAAGCGACAAAGGAGTGACATCCAAGAGAAGTAACTCTTTAACATCTCCACGAAGTATACCACCCTGAATTGCTGCTCCCATGGCAACTGCTTCATCAGGATTCACCCCTTTGCTTGGGCTCTTTCCAAATATCTCAGCAACTACTTCTTGTACTTTAGGAACACGGGTCATCCCTCCAACAAGAAGAACCTCATCAACTTCCTTAGTAGAAATGCCAGCATCCTTCAAGCAGTTCTTACATGGGGCTCTAGTTCTCTCAATCAAGTTATTTACCAAGCTTTCAAACTTTGATCTGGTAAGTGTGATATTCAGGTGTTTTGCACCAGATGCATCAGCTGTTATAAATGGAAGATTAATTTCAGTCTGTGAAGTAGACGAGAGTTCAATTTTGGCCTTCTCAGCTGCTTCCCGAAGCCTCTGAAGAGCTAGCCTATCCTTTGACAGATCAATGCCCTCCGTTTTCTGGAATTCACTCACTAAGAAATTCAGAAGAGCATTGTCAAAATCCTCTCCTCCCAAGAAAGTGTCGCCATTTGTTGCTTTCACCTGGATGAGATTGTTATTAGCTCAATTACCCTAAGCAATCAGTAAAATTGTATCCTCAAAAAAATAAAGGCAAGCATACCTCAAACACACCATTAGATATCTCCAAAATTGAAATATCAAATGTTCCACCACCAAGATCAAACACTGCAATCAGACCCTCTTTGTTGTTCATTCCATATGAAAGTGCAGCTGCAGTTGGCTCATTAATTATTCTCTGCACATCAAGGCCAGCTATTCGACCAGCATCCTTTGTGGCTTGCCTCTGAGCATCATTGAAATAAGCTGGTACAGTAATGACAGCTTTTGAGACAGTCTTCCCAAGGTAAGCTTCAGCAGTTTCTCTCATTTTGGTCAGAACGAAGGCTCCAATCTGACTTGGAGAATATTGCTGTCCATTCGCCTCAACCCATGCATCGCCATTTGGAGCCCTAACAATCTTGAAAGGAACCATACCCATTTCCTTCTGTGTTTGTGGATCATCAAAGCGTCTACCAATAAGACGCTTAGTTCCAAAAAGAGTGTTTGTTGGGTTGGTCACAGCCTGACGTTTAGCAGGAGTACCAACAAGCAGTTCTCCTTTCTGATTAAAGGCAACCACTGATGGTGTGGTCCTCGAACCTTCAGAATTCTCAATAACTTTGGGATTCTGTACTCAATAGTCGACTCAATCAGAAACAATCAGTTGTGCAACACTGCTTTCCTCAACCAATTAACAAAATAATTGACAAAGTACATTAGTTTCCACAATTACCTTTCCCTCCATGACTGCAACACAGGAGTTAGTGGTACCCAAATCGATACCAATGACATCATTTCCCGCAGGTTTTGAGCTACATAAACAAAATGAATCAGTGATATACACAGTAACCAAAAAAAATGTAAATAAAAACATGAAGAAGCTTAAAGAACATCATACCTGAAAGCCCTGGAGAAACTAGCCCAATTAATACCTGCCGATGTCTTTGAACTGCTAGTGAACTGGCAATAAAATCAGAGGAAATTCAGGCTAACATGCATCTACAGTTCGAAACAATATATAACAAGCTGAACCAGACAAAATAACAAAACATAAGGAAAAAACAACAAAGAAGAAAACTTTCCAAATTGTAGAAATCCCATTTTCATGTTTCTAATATCTAATCTTAAGAAATAATTAAACAGATAACAGGATAAACACCGAGAACCATCGGAATTCATAACAGCTAGCTCAACAACAAAACCTCTCCCAGCTCACGATGGCTAAATTCATCTTCAAACGAACAAAAACACCTCAAACACCAACAGATCGAAAGACTCGAAACAAGAGATCAGTCAAAACGTCAGAAACAGAGAGATAACGATCCCGTGCAGGGACACCTACACATCTGTATGCCGAGAGGGAGGCGGAAGTGGCCTCCCGGCGCCTTAAGGAGCGGAGCAGGACTGCCGTGGCCATAACTCACAGGACGGATCAGCAGAGGGCGGGACAGAGAAGAAATGCACCAGAAGAAGAAAGGAGATTTCCTAGGGTTTAGGGTTTTGTGGAAGTGACGATGAGGCTGAAACAGAATTACCGATTTTTCCAGGGGAAGATAGAAGGTTCTAGAGATACAGATGCAACCGGCGAACCGGGTAACGGGGCGTCGTGGCCGCGTCCGGAGGTGTAACAAGCGAATACGTCGTCGTCTAATTAAACGGTGTCGTTTTTGTAGGCCACGTAATGGAGGTTTGGTCGTTCCATCTTACCACCGTCCTAATTTAATTTTTCCCGCACAGAGTCGCACATTTTCCAGATCTATTCAACAAATATATAAAAAAAAATTATTGGTTAAATATCAATTTTAGTCTCTAAAATTTAAACTTTAAACTATTTTAGTCTCCAAATTATTTTCTTACACTTTTTAGTCCTTAAACTAAGAAAATACATTTTTAAAATCATTTTATTAGTTAGGTTTAATTTAAAAGTACTGACTTGAAACCAAAAGTTTGATTTTTTAGTCTTTTAATGTTCTAAAAATAAATAAAATATGTTTAGTATATTTAATTTTTATTTTTATTAATAGTTTATATATTTCTAAAAATGAAAAGTGAAAATTAAAATGTTTGGCATTTAGATTACCAATACTTCTTATAAAATTATTTAAATTTTCTTAATGAATCTTTCTCATATGTTAATTCATTAAGGGCATTTAAATAATTCCATAAAAAAATTTGGCATTTTAATTGACAAGATATCTTATTTTTTACAATCCTTTTTTAGAATTATAAAATAAAAGCTAAAACACTGAGAAGTATTATCAAATTATCAAATGAAACCTTAATTTGTTAACTCTATTTGCATATGTATATTTTTAATTCTTAAATTTATAATATATGCATATTTTTCATCTTTGAACTTATAAGTTTGTGAATTAAAAACATGTATA